CCCCCAGAATTACCTCCTAGCCGAGTAGTCGACCATCGGATAGAGTTAGAGCCGGGGAGTAGGCCAGTAGCGAAGCCGCAGTGGAGGTTGAGTCCAGCAGAGAAATAGGAGATGCCGCAGCAGGTTAGGCAATTTCTCGCGCAGTGTTTCATACAGCCATCTAGATCGCCTTGGGCAGCAACGATCCTTTTCGCGCATAAGAAAGACGGAGGGTTACGGATGTGCATAGACTACCGCGCACTGAACGCCGCCACCGTCAAGAATAGATTCCAAGTACCGAGAGTAGAGGATCTCCTAGATGCAGTGCAGGGCGCTAGAATCTTCTCAAAGATCGACCTTCGTTCGAGTTACCATCAGATTCGAGTAGTTCCAGAGGACCAGCACAAGACGGCGTTTCGTACGAAGCAGGGGTTGTACGAGTTTAGGGTTCTACCGTTCAGTTTGACCAACGCCCCAGCGACGTTTCAGACGCTCATGAACACAGTCCTCTCCGAGTTCGTAGGGTCGTTCGTTGTAATTTACCTAGGCGACATCCTAATCTTTTCCAAGACGAAAGAGGAGCACGTGCAGCACTTGCAGAAGGTTTTCAAGGTCTTGCGGAAGGAGCAGTTGTACGCTAAGCAGTCGAAGTGCGAGTTCTTCCTCCCCGAGGTCGAGTTTCTAGGTCACGTCGTATCCGAGGTCGAGTTTCTAGTGACATTAGGACCGACCCGAAGAAGATCGCAACCGTACAGGATTGGGTAGCACCGACCTTAGTCAAGGAACTGCAGAGCTTCCTCGGTTTCGCGAATTACTACCGTCCTTTCGTTCAGGGTTACGCATCGATCGCTAGTCCACTCACCGACCTACTTCGGAATGGCGTAGAGCTTCTCTGGGGCCCAGCGCAACAGCAGGCGTTCGAGCAGTTGAAGCAGTCGCTCACGTCTTCACCGACACTGTCGTACCCTGATCCCACTCGCCCATACGTTGTAGTGACCGACGCTTCAGATCAGGCCATAAGGAGCAGTGTTTCTTCAGGACCAGGGACGCGGGTTGCAGTCGATCGCGTACGAGTCGCGTAAGCTTAGGGGAGCGGAGCTGAACTATCCCATACACGACAAAGAGGCGCTTGCGATCATCCATGCGTATAGAGGTGTGGAGGTTCTACCTAGAGGGGGCAGATAGTGTTATACGCACGGACCATTGCTCACTTCGTTTCCACAAATTGCAGCCGCAGCTGAGTCATCGCCAGGCTAGGTGGATGGAGTAGAGGTGCAGGGTAGTGTCTATATTAAGAAGGGTACCACACGGATTTGGGTTCCAGCCTACCGCCCTCTTCGACAGCTTCTTCTTTCCGAGGCACACGACGTCGTTAGTGCAGGGCACTTCGGAGCAAATAAGACGGCTAAGACGCTTAGTCGCACGTACTACTGGCCAGGGCTTGCAACAGCCGCAGAGGATTACATTCGCTCGTGCGGCACGTGTCATCGTAAAAAGTCATCTCGCCAGCGCAAGGCAGGAGAGCAGCCGCATGGATCATGGAGGTACGAGCAACCTCCATGATCAGGCCAATGCAATGCTCAGCGATCCCATTTTGCTGCGGAGAGGCCGGAAGCGTGAACGACTGGGCGATGCCCTCATCCTGGCAGAACGTCTCAAGGACGCCAGAGGAGAACTCACCACCCCTGTCAGAGTGCAGACGCAGGACTGGAAAGTCCCGCCGAAACCGCTCGCGCAGCTGGTGACGAGTAGCACGGATCTAGGGGACCAAGACACCACTGACATCCGCCTTGCGTCGCAAGGGGAAGACTGTGGTGTAGCGTGTGTAGTCGTCAACCACCAGCAGGAAGTAGCGCTCCTGGTTCGTTCCACCGACGGGGGCCGGGCCCCACACGTCCATGTGAAGAGTCTGCAGAGGAGCAGTTGTCGGAGGAAACTCGGAGGAGTGAGGAGCGGCGCGCTGCCGCCCCTCGACGCAAGGAAGGCACGGCGGCGCAAGTGAGCGCGGGAGGGGGGGCAGGGTCTCAGGGAGGCCAGTGACCAGGAGCCGGGAGTGCATGCGGCGCAGACGCTGCAGGGAGGGGTGACCAAGACTGTGGTGCCAGCGCTGAGTCTCGTGCGTGAGTACTCGGCACGAGCAAGACGCAGCTAACTGCCTTGACGCAGATGCTCGACTCGACGTAGCTACCTGACCTGACTCAGCCACCTTTGCAGACGCAGTGGTCAGTATGTACAGACTAGACCCAGGCTGTCGAGTGAACGTAGCCAGGTGACGGCCAGTCCGGGAGCACGTACAGATCGCCACACGCTGCCCTCCAGGAAAAAAGGTATCAACCCAGAAATCCTGAATGGCAGCGTTGCTCACCAAGTTCGTCGAGAACGTGGGGAGGTGGAGACCTGACAAAGAGCCGGAGGGGACTGTTGGACAAGGGAGGACCGTGGAGGCTCTCGCAACCACTGGGCCCCAAGAGGGATCAGCCAGTGAGACTGGGACAGGTGCTGTGAGTGGTGTGACTGTGGTGCAATCACGGAAGAAGCAACGTGACGCGCCGGAGTCAAGCGTGAAAGTGTGCAAGACCTCAGCTGAGGTAGGACCTGTGGTAGTAGACGCACTAGCAACTAGAGCGTCGGTAGACTCACGGGCACCTAGAGCTGCAGCAGACTCACTAGCACCTGGAGTGGCAGCAGACTCACTAACACCTGGAGTGGCAGCAGACTCATTAACACCAAGAGCAGCGGTCTTAACAGAACGATAACCTCCACCACCAGGACGACCTCGCTGAATAACCCACTCACGAAGCTGCCGAGGGGTGGGGTCGTCGGGGAGAAGCAGTGCCCGCTGCTGTCCACCCCTGGCCGCAGCGACTGCCGCGGAAGTGGCCATGACAGACAGTGACTGTCAGGAGTAGGTCCAGCACCTCCAGCTCCTACAGCGCCAGCAGCACCTCCTGCACTCCCAGCAGCACCTCCTCCACTCCCAGTAGCACAAGTAGCATCAACAGCAGTAGTAACAGCAGCAGGGCCGTTCGGTGGGGGTGGGAGGCCGCACCTCCACCACTCCCAGCAGTACTCCCTCCAGTAGCAGCAGTAGCAGGGCGGCTCGGGCAGCAGCAGCAGACCGAGCAGCAGCAGCAGCAGCAGCAGTAGCAGTAGAACGAGTAGCACTAGCTGTAGCAGTAGTAGTTGCAGTAGCAGCAGCAGTGACAGCTCGGGCTGGGCGGCGCGGCTCGGACACAGTGGCAGAGCAGCAGTAGCACTAGCTGTAGCAGCAGTAGCAAGGAGGAGCAACTGCAGCAAGTAGTAGCAGCAGCAGCAAGGAGGAGCAGCTGCAGCAAGTAGCAGCAGCAGTTGCAAGGCAGTACAGGCGGCAGCAGCACTGCAGCAGCAGTTCAGGCGCAGCAGTGTAGCAGCAGCAGCGAGTGCAGCAGTAACACGGGCCGCGTGCGGGCCAGGCGCGGGCTGTAAGGGCTGCGTGCGGGCCCGGCGCGGGCTTTACGAGCTGGGTGCGGGCCTGACGTGGGCTGTACGGGCTGCGCGACGGCCTGGCGCGGGCTGTACGGGCTTCGCGACGGACCTACGCGAGCTGTACGGGCTTCGCGACGGGCCTACGCGGGCTGTACTGGCAGCTAGGGCGCAGTCAGGGGGGGTCGCACGTGACTAGGAAGGAAAATCGCGTCTAGGGCAGAAAAAGGAACCGTCTCGCCTAGAGCACGGTTTCGAATTTCGCGTTTCTCCTAGGGGCGCGACTCGGGCAGTAGATCGAAATAGTAGTGGTGGGCCCTTTTAAAAATTCGGTCCTAAGGAGCATTGTGCTCTTAATACCATGTTAGAATCACTAGCTAGGTGAGGAATGAGGATTAGGTAAGGGAGAGAGAGTACAAGAGTATCGAGAGAATTGGGTTGTACCCTCTAAGGGATGACCCCTACACAACCTAGAGTGAATTAGACATAGCTCTATGTTTTGACAAATTTGATTCAGGATGACCCGATGCAAGGAATACGCCCTAAATACCATTGAACAGTAAAGTACCCCGTAACATCAATCGACCCACCAGTTACACTAACGGCTCACTTTCTCTTTATTGCAAGATATTGTCATATTGGCCTATGTATCCAGAAAATTAAAATTATTTCATTAAAAGGTTCAAATAATAAATATCAATTACATCGATAAATATTCAAAGCCCATAAACTTATATTACGACTAAGAAAATATAGTAAAGAGAAGGGAAGTTCAATTAAACATATGGAAGAATAAATTTCATGTGTGTAAATCCTGCATTGGATTTTTAGTATTGGAGGCGAATTGTAGGACTGATGCTGCATTAAATACCAATGCATCATAATGTCTAGGATTATATAAATTACAGATAGAACGATGTACTTTTTATTGAATGTGCGTCACTTCTGATGTGGTTGCGGAGTATCTTCGAGCTTTCCCTGAAGCCTTGCCAAATAGGTCCAGCAGGCGAAGTGGGCTGAAGCCAACTCCCTGACTAGCGTGTTTCATCCCCCCCCTGGCCTGACATTGCCGCCATTTTGTCCTCCAGGCGTGTGGCCGGTGTGGCGGCAGTACCAACGTAGTCACCAGTTCACGGAGCGCAGAGAAATTGCTGGTGTGCAGCGCAGGCACTGCCGCCAAGCAAATCCGCTCACCCAGAATGAGGGATCGCGAGAGAGAGGAGAAAACGCCTAGCATTCTCCTGGCACAACTGGCTAAACCCAAAGATCCACTCCCATCGAGCTTATAAACACCACTCTGACCTCTCCGCGGCGATGTCCTCTTCTGACTTGCACTTTTGTTCCTCATCGACCGTGCAACCGTCATCAATAGGTCCGTTCTCTTAGCGCTTTTGTGTTGAAAACCAGAGGACGAAACACAAACAAGTAGCTCTGGTTCGAAGTGGAGACCTGCTATACAGCTCCCATACTCGCCTCGCTCGTTCTACAAGGTTGAACCTTGCTGAATCGCGACTGAAGAGAGTGCGATGACAAGCGCACTGGAGAAACGCATGAGATCTATGGCGGCACTGCCTCAAAATATGGCTCCTCAGGTAGACAAGGTGAGCAACGATGATGACGACAGCCAATTCTGAATCCATAAAGGCTGATTTCGATCTTCCACAGTATTGCACACACCGCGGCTTCAAACCCACGGCTAAGATCCATTCCTTCAAGTAAAAGATGATGTTCCCGCGACTAAGCTAGTCACCAAGAGCAAATAACGTTTTTTTTTTTTTCGCGAGCAATTCTTTTGCTGCTGACGTGTATCCTCGCCTCGTCATCCGCTTCCAGCATCCGCCGAGCACAAGAATGCCACTACAGTCCACGAACTCCGACTCGGAGGCGCTATCACTGTTACCGGTTCATCGCACGTCTGCGCTTTTCCCCAACCGTCGGGTTCCGCTCTTTCAAAGCCAGTGGTGCGTACGGACTTTCAGAAACCGAGCGCGACGTTCTCGCTGTACCCGCTTATTCAAGCCTCCCTTCTATGCTCATTATATTTGTCTCTGTGCTTGTCAGAGGACCCGAGACCATGCTGCGCTGCCTCTTGCATCGGCCGCTTCAGCATCAGGGTCCGCAACGACGTCGGCTAACGGGAGTCGCGAGGCGAAGAAGTGGAAGCCTGAGGACTTCGAGATAGGGAGGCCGCTGGGACGCGGGAAGTTCGGGAAGGTGTACATGGCGCGAGAGAAAGAGGTGAGCGGGACAGTAGCAGCAACGAGGATTCTGAAGACACATGCACCCTCTTGGGGAGAGTCACGCAGTCCGTAACGCACACGCACGTTCTTCTCCTCTCTGCTCCGCCGTTGCCTAACATATCTAATTTCTGTCGCTCTGTCTCTGCGCAGCACGAGTTCGTCGTGGCGCTGAAGAAGCTTTCAAAGAAGGAGCTGCTCAAGGCGCGCATGGAGCACCAGCTGGTGCGAGAGGTGGAGATCCAGAGCAACCTCCGCCACCCGCACATCCTGCGCCTCTTCGACTACTTCTACGACGAGGTCCGTCGCGTCGCGTCCGTCTCTCTCGCGTCTCCCGCGCATCGTTTTCTCAGGCGGAGCTGCGCTGAGTTGATGGCGTACGCGGAGGTTTCTGATGGTGCTGCATATGACTTGTGATATTGCGCGTCCGCGTTGTACACTGATCCGTCATGTGTGACTTCACCACGTGAAGTTACACGCCTCTTGTTCCCTGTGCCGTATGCCTTGTTTCCCCCCCCGACAGACAAACGTGTATCTGATTCTGGAGTTCGCGCCAGGAGGCGAGCTATTTCGCGAGCTCCAAAAGTCGCAACGCTTTTCAGAGCCACGCGCCGCCACGGTAAGACATCAATGTCAACAGCTCCTCGTCGCTGGTTACGGTCTCGTTACTCGCTCTTGTTAGCATCCGTCTTGCTTTGGCTTCCTCCTACCCACCCCATCTCTCCTTCCTTCCACCACCCCGCCAGTACATCCTATCGTTAGCGGAGGCGCTGATCTACTGTCAATCCAAGAACATAATCCATCGCGACATCAAGCCCGAGAACCTGCTGCTCGGATCCAATGTAAGCAGATATCCTCAGCCATTCGCCATAAAGAAATTGCACCCTTGAAGTACTTATTGTTCCCCTGACCGAACGTTTTTTGCACTTCGTAAAAGCACTTTTCTGATCCCGTTTTCTCCACCACGCTCTCTTTTCGCCAGGGCGAGGTGAAGATCGCAGACTTCGGATGGTCCGTACACGCTCCTAGTTCGCGTAGACGCACTCTTTGTGGTACTCTCGACTACCTCCCCCCGGAAATGGGTACGTGTGCCTTAAGCCCTTACTCTCGCCCTTAACGATTTTCTTTTTTCGGAGATATGTCAAAACTCTCTCTTTCTCTTCTTCCCTCTCGTTCTCAACTTCCGTCCTTGCGCAGTCGAAGGCACTTCGCATGATCGCATGGTGGACATCTGGAGCCTCGGCGTGCTCGCGTACGAGTTTCTCTACGGAATTCCGCCGTTCGAATCAACCACCACCGCGCAGACGTACAGACGAATCATGCAGGTGGATCTAAAATTCCCACGCAACATCAATGTGTCAAGCGACGCCAAGGACCTGATCCAACGGCTGGTGGTGAAGGAGCCGTCGGCACGCTTGGCGCTGAAAGACTTGGTCGTGCATCCATGGATTCAGAAGTACGCGGAGCGCAAGCCTCGGGAGCAGGCGCTGGCGACAGTCGTGCAATAAGCTCACGATGGATGGCGGAAGATGACGGACAGAGATTGTTCTCGATCGTAGCCATCGATTGTTGCTGGAAGGGTCTAGGATGTTTAGTTGTCATTCAACAGAACTCCGCATTGTAGCTTAGACGAGTACACTGGAGTGGAATACAGCAGCTAAAAGCATTATTGGTTGGGGGAACTTGATTCTCTCAAATGAAAAGCAGCCAGCTATATTTTCATGGTTCTATTGGCCTTTCATGGTTCAGGAGCCGTGACTAGAATATATTACATAATTTAAATATGATCTCTATGTGGCTCCAATCGGGAAATTATATATAAAAAGCTGAATGTTTATCTCAATGTAGCTGAAATTCACCACTGAAGTATTTGTTTGAGCATGAATTTCTATTGAGATAGAGGGTGTAAAAAACGGAGTTGCGATTAGTGAAGATTAGTGTGACATGTTTTGGCTGCGACGCCACGAGTGAGCGACACGTAGACGGAGCCGTTCATCGGCTGGCGAAATTATTGAATTGACGAGCTTCGGCTAAACCAAGCCTCAATCGAAGCTGAAATTCAAAAGTCCTGGTTCTCGTTTTGGCGGGCTTTCTGGTGCGGCAGGTTCTCAGAGCAGCAGGCAAAGGCGGCCCAAACCAACTTCTACGTTTTGACCAGAAACCGGACCTAGCCCTAGTCTGAATTTGTTTAACCAAACTAGAATCAGGCGGTTTGGGAATGCCTGCCCTGGAGGACACCACAAATCGTCCATCACCGCTCAACGGAAACTCGGGTGGCGTTGCACCCCAAATTCAATTTGGCCAAAGCCCAGCCTAAATTTGAACGGAAGCTCCGCCTCGCCATCCAGCCCATCGTCTCGAGCCGCCATCAGTGAGCGTCTCGTGCGGTGGCGGCTCGCAACTCGTTACGCGACAAGCAATCGAGTGAGCAACACAACGACGAGTCACGACGAGTCCCCAATTCGTTCTGACCGTTGCCGTCACTCAACTGGAATTCGCTCGCAGCGGCGTGGATGAAAGGAGCGCGAGGAAACGCAGTGACCAACCCTACCCATTCAATCCATCCCACGCAGCCTCCATGCACAAAACCATCAGCGTCCCTTGCGCAGTTCGTCAACCTCACTTACCCATTCTTTCGCGTCGCTGCCAATTTGTTACCTCATCGCCTCGTCCGCCTCTAGCAGGTGGCGTAAGCGTTTAGAATTTTTCTTCGACGCAGCACTCGCATCTCCTGGTTGGCTATGTGCTGTGGTACTCGTTTCTCCCGCTTCCTGTCGTAAAGTGAGAGGAGTGTCATACCGACGCCGTAGGCTGTTGCCATATTTTATTCGCCAGCCCTAAAGCCATCGCCATCTGTTCCGACTCAGTCAAAGATATTCCGTATAACGTTCCCGCAAGCCAGCGTATTCTCAGACACGCCGTGCTTCCGTAGCGAGATTTGATAACCAGCCCGTGTTGTTACGATGGCGCCGGCGGAGACTGCGATGATGCGCGCAAAGGAGAACCGCGTGCGGCAGGCCGTAGAGACCAAGACTTCGTCGCCGCGACTGAAACGAACCATGGCTCCTCAGGTCGACAAGGTGAGCGACAAAGACGGTGACAGATTTCTGACGAGGGAGGAAAACGGACCAGGGACGACCTACAACTGCAGCCAGGCTGGATCTTATGACCCGCAGTACGCAGTACACGTTACAAGTGATCTCGTTATTACGGTCGGTTCCAGCCTGTCATATGCAGGAAACGAGTCACTAAATGTCGGCGCCACGAACGGCTAGTCTGACTTCCCAGAAGCCTCTTATCCTGGACGTGGGGCGATACTGAAAAGGATAGCCTTCGCAGTACTGCTTGAACAGCAACGCTTCTCGACTACTAACATCGAGAATTGGGAGCAGCGAGAAGCGCTGGTAGCGTCTCTTATCATACAGTGCTTGTGCAGAAAGGCAGTCGTTTGGTGAGCAGATGGACACGCGTCACGCACGCATCTCGTCTCTCGATTCGCCCACGCAAGATCCTCTTCCTCCATCTCTCTCTCTCCCGCCTTAAACTCCGTCTCTATCCCTCTCTCCTTCTCTTGCTCCACGTCATGCGTGCCCAACAGCCGTCTACCTCGAGAATGCCGCTACAGATCAGCAACTCTATCGACGGCGCGCCCACGCATTCCAAAGCCGCCGCTTCCGCCCAAGCCTGTCCGCAAACGTCGGCTTCCGCTCAATCGAAGCCAGTGGTACGTCTACAATTCCCCAGTAGTGAAAGACGTCGCATGACACGTCGCACAAGACGTCGCTTATCATTGCGCGCGGAGGACCCGCCTCCACCCGCAAGGCTTATTTCATCTCATGCACTGCTCGTCTCAGCCCGTTTTTAACCGTTCTCATTCGTTCCTCTGCTCTCCTTCCCGTTCCAAATTTTCCTGTCTCTGCACACTCCTTCAGAGGGCAAGAGTCCCCGCTGCTTCCGTGCAGGCTTCCGTGTCGACCGCGTCGACCGCATCAGCAGCAGCATCGGCGTCGATTGGCGGGAGCGGAGAGGAGCACCGGTGGTCGCTAGAGGACTTCGATATCGGGAGGCCGCTGGGGCGCGGAAAATTCGGAAGCGTGTACCTGGCGCGGGAGAAGAAGGTGAGGTGGAGGAGGTGGGAATGGAGAAACGCAGAGGGCAGATTTGTTGATTTGAGAAACTTTCGTTTATTCCCTCCACTGCTTCTACTTCTCCAACGTTGTTTCCCAACCCTTGGTTTCTCCCAATCGTGCTGCGTCCCTCCCGCCTTTCGTTCCGCTCCGTCTCTACTCTTGTACTCTTCCCTCCATGCCTCACCGCTCCTTTCCACCCTTACCCGCCCCCCCCGCCCCTCCCCGCCCCTCTCCATGCCTCTCCACCCCTTACGCGCGCCTCTCTGGTCTCCCTTTTCCCCTGGGCAGAGCAAGTTCATCGTGGCGCTCAAGGTGCTGTTTAAGAACCAGCTGCAGAATTCGTCGCAGGTGGTGGAACATTTGAGTCGTCTCAAAATTCCCCGTCTCCCTTCCCCGCGCGCGCGCGTCTCTCGTCTCTCTCTCTTTCCCCGTAACAGAGCAAGTTCATCGTGGCGCTCAAGGTGCTGTTCAAGAATCAGCTGCAGGAGTCGCAGGTGGAGCACCAGCTGCGGCGCGAGATCGAGATCCAGAGCCACCTGCGCCACCCGCACATCCTGCGCCTCTTCGGGTTCTTCTACGACGAGGTGAGACCCGCGCGGCGCCGATGCGGGGAGGGAGGCGCGCGAGATGATGATGATGATGATGATGATGATGATGATGATGATGATGATGATGATGATGGTGGTGGTGGTGCTGCTGCTGCTGCTGCTGCTGCTGCTGCTGCTGCTGCTGCTGCTGCTGCTGCTGCTGCTGCTGCTGCTGCTGCTGCTGCTGCTGCTGCTGCTGCTGCTGCTGCTGCTGCTGCTGCTGCTGCTGCTGCTTGCGCCTCGCAATCGGTTCTCCTTCCCCCCCGCAGCACGGTCACTCCCGCCCCCCAGCTTCCCAACTCCCCCCGTTTCTCATGGTGTTTCCCCCCGTCTCCCGCCCGCGCTCCTCCCCCCTCTGGCAGAAGCGCGTGTACCTGATCCTCGAGTTTGCCGCGGGCGGTGAGCTGTACCGCGAGCTGCAGAAATCGCAGCAGTTCTCGGAGCAACGCGCCGCCACGGTACGGCGCCTCCTCCTCCGCTGCGCCCTCTCCTCTTCTCTCATCTGCCGTCCTCTCCGTTGATAAAGATTTTTCCACCCTGTCCTCCGCTTCGCATTGTTGCTTCCCTCACGCACCGCATCCCGAATCTTCTCTCAAACCCCTTCTCACCCGACGCTCACTCCACGCCACACCCCACCCTCTCCCCCGTGCCAGTACATCCTGTCGCTAGCCGAGGCGCTCATGTACTGCCACTCGAAGCACGTCATTCATCGCGACATCAAGCCCGAGAACCTGCTGCTCGGCTCCGATGTAAGAGATTATACTCAGGGTCGTAACCACGGGTACTTGTCATTGTTCTCTTTCCTTTTTTGTAAGCCGCATCGAAAGCTGGCCCTGAAGGTCCCCCTCGGAACCCTCACCCGCGCATCGCGAGCATAGGTAGAACGAGCCAATCGCTTTCAGCTTAAATTTACTCCGCTACCTTGAACCATCGCTCGTCGCATTGCACATTCCTTGCACATTCCATCCATAATCAACCTCGCTTGCTTTCGTCTTGCTTTTTGAACGCTTTCCTCTCCTCTTGGCTCTGTCTCCCTTGTGCTCGCTCTCTCGCTCGGCCCCCTGCCCGACCTTGCAGGGCGAAGTAAAGATCGCAGATTTCGGGTGGTCCGTACACGCTCCTAACTCGCGCCGCCAAACGCTCTGCGGAACTCTAGACTACCTGCCCCCGGAGATGGGTAAGCAGATGAACATCATCTCAATTAATGCGACTTCTGAGAGTGCTGCGTTGTAACGCACGACTGTGCTGTGCTGTGTTGTGCTGCCTGGATCTGAAGATGATAAAGTGCCACTCAGAAAGAGAGAGGCGTGTTCAACACACGAGGGAGCTGCTCAATCTTCTGTTGGTTTTTTCTTTTTCCCTCCTTTTTCCTCTTTCCTCCTCTTTCTTCCTCTCCCCTTGTGAATTGAAGCTCTAACCCGCTCTCTTCCGCCGTGCCGTCCTCTGCGCAGTCGAGGGCGCGTCGCATGATCGCATGGTGGATGTGTGGAGTCTGGGCGTGCTCACATACGAGTTTCTCTACGGAACACCGCCGTTCGAAGCGCCTAACCACCCGCAGACGTACAAGAGAATCATGCAAGTGGATTTGAAATTCCCCGGCAACATCAAGGTGTCAAGCGACGCCAAGGATCTGATCCAACGGCTGCTGGTGAAGGAGCCTTCGGCACGATTGGCTCTCAGAGACGTGCTTGTGCACCCATGGATTCAGAAGTACGCGCAGCGGAAGCCTCGGGAACAGGTGCTGACGACTGTGAGCGGATGAGAACGGATGAGTAGAACTGCAGCCCCGAG